CTACTCTCTAGGGTTACTTTGTGTTGGAATTGATTCACTGCAGTGAATTTAATTCTTGCACAAAGGCCTGAATGCATGATGGGAAATATAATGGCAAATTTGAATATATACTGGCTGGGAACCAATTTTTTTTTTTAAATAAATGCTCCTTTCTCATACTCTTGTTTAGAATCAACTCTATCTTAGATACTTCCTGAGGGAAGTGTTTCTTGACAATTTTCAAGTCAAACTCAAAACCTCAGTGGGTTTGAACTGCTAGGGACCTACAGCATTTGGATTAGCAACACAACCTGCTATAGACTACATCACCACTCACTGCTCCCTCTAAATTTGATAGGACTTTCTCAATGCATCCTATCCTTGAAGTTACTTGTATAATTTCCATCTTTTACATTAAGTTCCAATAAGGGCAAGGGCTATTTTTGTATTGTTTATAGCTGTGTCCCAATGCCTGGCTTAGACGTGGGTTCTCCTTAAATATTTGTGAAATAAATGAATTAATCTAGGAAATGAACATAGAGCTCATGTACTTCCTCTGACCTTCAACATTTAATTAAAAAAATCCCCTGGAGCATTTATTACTTCTATAATAAAAGTGTTATTTAAAATAATGAAATGGATAAAAATATATGTAAGTGTTCTTTAGTAAATGCTAGATATGATTAAGGTTCTTTAATTTGTTGAAAGTTCAATAAAAATTCTTAGTCATTCTTTCTTGCATGCCAGCTCTTTCTACACATGCTATTTTGTTAGTTCGGTTTCATTTTTCTAGCTTGGATTTAAACTAGTAGTATTGGTTTTCTAGCAAAGAAATTGGATTTATACTTGCTCTAAATTAGAGTATGTTATAAAGATAGATGATCAAATTGTGTGATATTTGGGGCAAAATGGAAATACACATCAGTGGCACAGAGTGGAGAAACCCAAAACTATATAGATAGCACAAAACAAGAACAACAACATGGGCTTAGCAGCTCTGGTGTCACAGTTGGCTGCGGAATGAGAGGCTGGAAGGTCAAACTCACAAGCTACTCCTTGAGAGACAGCTGTTGCTGCTCCTATAAAGATCAGTCTTGGAAACTCTGTGGGGTGCGTAGTCCTCTGGCCTACAGGGTGTTATGAGAAAGAATTGACCCCGTGCTGATACTTGGGAGGAAAGAAGATTAGAAAGCCCGTGGGATTGAACTAATTGCAATGGAAAAAATGGATTCACATCTCATATCATAGAATCACTCTGGAGTGAAACAGAAAACAACCAGGTCATTAGAAAACTTAACTTTTCAGAACTCTCAGAAATTTTCTGAGCTTTGACACCACAGAACCAACTGTAAAAGAAGATTGAATCTAGGGTTCATCTCTGTGTTAATGCTATTCGAACCCTGTAAGAAAAAAACCCCCAGACTCTCAATAGATAGTTACAATTTATGGCTAGTTACAATTAAACAGCTACTACCAGAAAAATGAAAAAAAAAAAAAAATTGAAAAATACTTCCAGGGAGGCAGTGCTGCCTGCAGGAAGGACACTAAGATGTTCTGAGAACAGGATTCAAATGGAGTTTAACCACTATGTGACAGGAGCCTTTATGTCACCTCTTTTTTTTTTTAAATGAAATTATTTTGTTTTCATTTGAATGAAGGCTTACAAATCATATTTGTTTTTCATACATTCGTATTTTATTTTCTGTACTTTTTTCCCAGTTACTACACTTTAAACATGGGATCAAAACTAGATCCATTCAACTACTTCTTGCGAAGAACTGTGTATCACCAAGATAAGCACATAACAAGCAATAGGAAATGTCAATTTCTTTTTCATTCAGCTTCAAAGCTGCAGAAACTACCTGCGGCCACTAGGGGGCAACCAAGTCATTCACGAGATTGAAATCTTGGGCAGGCGGAGAAATGATTGCGTGAGGTTGGTTGCTGCAGCGTTGGGAAAACGGCGTTTATAATGCGGGGTATCTAAGGCGCTGAGTCCATCTGTCTGCTTAGATTTGCTGCCTGTTGTAGTAGTTTAAGGCCAGCTTCCCTTTACGATCCCTGAGGACGCCTTTTGGACCTGGTTAGGTGCCACAGGAGGTCAGAAACATCCAGCCCCTGATTTAAGAGGAAGATGCCTTTGGCTTCTTGAGGAACCTTGGTTTTGGGAGAGTGCTTCCCTCCATCAGCTCCTCATCTGCCTCGAAAGCACGGACTTTTGTGTAATCAAATACTAATTAAACCGAGGTGCTGGAAATAATTAAGGGGTTAGCAGTCATTTGCAAGTATCATTAAAAACAAACAAACAAACAAACAAACAAACAAACAAACCCAACGAAAACAAATTCATTGCTGTGGAGTCTGAACTGACCCATAGCTGACCTTCCAGAGAGTTTCTAGAGGCAGTAAATTTCATGCGAGGCTACTGCCCATCTTTCTCCCACAGAGATGCTGGTGGATTCGAGCCTCCAGACACAGGTCACCTTCAGGTTAACCTCCCAACTTTCATGACCACCAGAGCCCTCCGCACCTCCTTACAAAGAAAGACAATAAAAATGATACATAGACGCTTCAACAATGCTTACAATTCAGAATGAGCCAGAGGAGCTGTTGTTGTTAAGTGCCGTGGAGCCCTAAACCCTGCTCTTTCCTGGTCCAATCTCACTGTCTCCGACACACCCATCCTGATTACCCCAGCCACTGAATCTATCCACCTCATAGAGGGTCTTCCTCTCCTGCGCTGTCCTTCCACACTCCCAAGCATGATGTCCCTCTCCAAGGACCAGTTCCTCCTTACAACATGTCCAAAGTATGTTAGACGAGCCTCAGAATCTTTGCCTCTAAGAGCCACCTGGTTTAACCCTCTCCAGGTTGAACCTGTTTGTTTTCTTAGTTGAGGAGATAGGGGATGGGAATTCAGGGTCGATTTGCAGGAGACCTGGGCCAGGAACTACCTAGTGAGGCTGTGGTTGTGCTCAGAATCTGTCTTTCCTGCCTGCACCTGTGCTCCCTGTGTTCCGGGCTGCCAGAGCCACTGCCCGATGTATTGAGCTAAACAAGTCAGCAGCTAATTTGCTCATTCCTGGCCGTCCTTTGAGAAGTGGTCCTGCGGATAAAGATGAAGATCATTGAAAACCAAGTCAGTTTCGACGGGCAGTACCTCGCAAAGTAGGTCACCCAGCCCTTCCGCGGGCCCGGGCGGCAGGAACGCCATTAACCTCAATCAAGCAGGCTCTGCGAGCAGGGCAGGGCTCCTGCTGCAAAACAAAGCTTGGCTGCTTGTAGCCTTCCTAATTTGACTTCCTAATGAGATTTAAAAGAGGAAAGGGGAGACCAGGGTATGGGAAAATCAAAGGAAAATTCCTCTCCCTTAACGCTCAGGTCGCACTGAGGGAAGATGGGTGTGGGTGCCTGGGAGGCCCCAGTACTTGTTATTAATGGATTCTGGCCACTGGGGTCTCAGGATGCCTGAAAGACAGGAAAATGTCCTCATAATTTTCAGAAAGTTTCTCCCATCTTGAGAAAAGAAAAGCTCCTTTGACTCTTCAGCCATGAGTTAGTTCCAATTCCATGGTGGTGAGCTTTTCATGTTCCTTCATCTCTCCTCTGGCCTAGACAGAGATGACCACTCCATCTTCAATTTCCTTGGATTCTTTCTGGACACTTAACTTTCCCCCACCAACCTCTGTGCTTTCTGCTTTCTCTCTCCTTTGCAGGCAAGTCTTCCTCAACATTAAATATTGGAGATACTCAAGACCCAGTTCTAAGCCCTCCGCACCCATCTTTTGTTTATGACCTTGACATTGATGATTTTCTATTCATTGATGACTCATCACTTTAGAACTTGGTTCGGAACCCTCCTTCTGATCTTCAGAGCTATAACATAGCTAACGTTCAACTTGGCCATCTTGAAGACATCTTCAATTTACATCTACAACTGAATTCATGAACTTTCTCATTAAACTTCCTCTAACATCTAATGTTCCCAAGCCCATCGGAGGTTCCACCTGTTATATCAGGCAGACCTGGAAGCATGCTGACCCCTTGGTCTTCTATCCCCTCCCTATTCAACCTAGCACCACAGACTTTGGATTTTAATTTGGAGCACTTATTAATGAAACACAAAGCCTTCAGTATGGATTGGTGGTGGTGTGTGTACGGTCGAGTCTGAACCAGGCCATAGCTGACCTTCTAGTGGGTTTTCAGAGACAGTATAATTGCACAGGAAGAGATTGCCTATCCTTCTCCCACAGAGCAGCTGGTAGATTGCAAAGTAGCTTCTTGCCACTAGGTCACCAGTGCTCCCTACATCTCAACATAAAAAAGATTTCTTTTAAAAATGGGAAATAAGTGGTTACTTAGTCAGAGGGATCCTGATATATGAATGATTTAGGCAATGGAGTCAACCAGATATAGATTGGAAATATAGTTCCATCCCTGAAAAAAAGATAAGGAGGATTGTTACAGAATTTTTGAGTCCAGTTTCATCATCTTTAAAGCGAGGGAGGCATTTGTTCTGTCCCATGAGGTTATTATATGGACCTAGTGGGAGATTGAACAGGTTTGGCAACCAGGAGTTTACCCCTGCTCACGAAAGACTCATTGGTGGATAAACTCTCCAGGGAGAGGAGACAGACAAGAGATGAGAACCGAGAATGGAACCCTGACTAACTCTGACTTCCCACAAGGCAGTCTTGCTTAGAGTGAGTGTCTCTGAGGGCAAATGTCTTGAAGTCTATTGTAGTAGAGAACGGGAGTGAGCACATAACAGGTCATTAGGTCTGGGTGGAATCTCACGTGAGGCATAACCACAGAAGGGTGGGGAGGTGGGGAAGAGACCAAACCCATGCTCCCAAGTAGATAAGGGCACCCCTGAGAAGCCACTTCAAGTGTTTATTCACCAGAGTGACTGGCTGGCTTCAATGACATAGCTGCTATGCTAGTCAGTGGCCAATCAGTGGGTGGATCCAAACACGAGGGCAGGGCAGGGCAGGCAGGGCCAGGAGCTGGCTGCTACTTACACATTGAGAGGCTGCCAGGCTGGCCACTGGGCCTTGGCTTTGATGACGGTGAGGACCTCATCACTCTGCAAAAAAAAAAAAATACAAACAGGAAACCACAGATATTTAGTAAAGAGGGTGGGTTATGGGACCAAGAAGGTTTCAGCTTTCCAGCAGTGACCCCTGCTCCCACCTCAGTGGGGTCTAACCCTGCTAGCTGAGACGTGGAGGCTGGCACTGTGGCTCTCCTGTCCAGGGTAGACCCATCCCACCGGGGATGCCAGAGGTACACTGGAGCAGTACCAGGAAGTAAGGCTGGGCATCCCAGCTGCCTGACCAGTCCTACATACTGAAGGCTCACTGGGCCGCATTGGTTTCAAGCTTGACCCGTCACTTTCCCCCTGGACTCTGTTCTGACAGGCTATGTTTCCACACCCTGCTCAGCTTGGAGGGCTGGGTCATGTGCTCTGTGCCCAGGCCCTGGGTGGGCCTGCCACTGAGACTGTCATCTTGTGGCCTCTCTGGCTGCTGATGCCCATGTACGGGGTCAGACCCTCCTGGCTAAAGTGCCAGAGGATGGGCCTGGAGGCTCATGCCCTTTGCACCACTCACCTTATTTTGCTTTCAGTGATGCATAGAACGCATTTTAAGCACAAAAATATCCACTTCAAATTCAGCGTTGTCAAGTCAGAACCTGCCGTCTGCTGGCAAGGCTGAGCCTCCAGCGGATTTTTAGACGCTGCAAATCACACAGGAAGAGATTGTCCACCTGTCTCTCTCAGAGCAGCGAGTGGATTCAAACCATCTGCCTTTGGATTGGCAATGCACTCCTTACCCACTAGGCCACAGAGAAGTCTGAAGTCTCATACCTTTTTTACCAAATGGGTTATTTTAGTTTGCGTGGTGTTTAGAGCATCATTTAATCACAAATACTTTATAATAGTTTTATGAAGTAACAAAAAGCTAGTAATAGTTTTTTAAGGAAGAATTGCTAATTTTTTTGAGGGAAAAGGCTAAGGTATCATGATGGAGAAAGCCAGAGCTTTGGTGTCTTGCTTACCTGTACTTTGAATTTTGGTTGAAATTTACTTTGAAGTACATGCTAGGAGTGAGGAATAGCATCATCTTTTTCAAGGCACAACGTCTCTACAGGTCTAGACTTGGCCATGGTGGGAGGCCTTCCCCAGAGTCAGTCAGCTGGTCCTGGATCTCCCCTTCCTGTGGCCTGGGCCTGGCAGTGTTCAGACACCATGGCCCATTAGGCACAGAAACTCCAGAATGCCACCAGCCGGGCCGGGAAGCATTTTGTTGCCAACAGAACAGATCACTGAGTTCCAGGGGGGCAGATGCACGCTGAGCCAGGGTCACGGCCAGAGCAGTGGCTGGCAGAGCATTTGGGGACAAAACCATGACCTCTCCTTGTTGGGCATCTTGCCCAGAAAACCCCACAGCCTTGAGGAAGCTGGAAGGAGGTGGTGTCTTCCAGGTTTGTCTGGGGATTAGAGGACACTTTCGGTTCAGAATACCTTGTCAGAAGCCCAGGGAAGGAGTCAGTGGATGGAGGGGCGTGGAGTGGAAGAGACCTGTAACAGATTTCAGTCACTGAGTGGCTGTGGTGGGTGGAGTTAGGCCTGAGGAACAAGCCATCAGGAACACTCCCTCAGGGGTTGCCAGCCTCCTCCTCAGCTCCTGCTTCCTTGTGGGACTTCCTCTTTTGATCAGAGGAAAGAATCTTTGAATGCACCAATTCCCATGTTCGCATGTTTATAGGAGAAGAATTCCCAAGTCCCACCCCAGTGGTTTCTGTTTTCCATGGGAAAGCTGTTCATTTAGTCAAATGTTCTCCTCACTCACTTCTGATGACCAAGCACCAAATGACTGGGAGAAGCTGTTACCATGAAGTCACATGTGTGACCAGACCTATCTGTCTTGGATCATGTCTCATGACCACACCAGGAAAGTCCAGGAGGTCTCTCATGTCCTGGTTTCCCCACAGTTGTCTCAGCCCACAGCCTACGCTGAGCTGTTCATCCCATCCCAGAATGCTGCTGCTCTTGCAGTGGGTACCAGAGGGGGTCAAAGATTGTCTACCAGCAGCTGGGCCACACATCTCATCCTAATCTCCCACCTGCCTCACAGCAGGCTGGCACCAGGACCTACTGCACCTGAGACAGGGCGCCTGGAGCCAGGTCTCAGGGAGGCAGTCTGGTCAGAAAACCACAAGGCAGATGTCTTCTTCCAGGAAAACATGCTCACCTCCTATTGCAACGAGCTCTTAGTTCCTGGGAAGTTGCTTTCCAGTGTGATGTTGTTGTTAGGTATCATCGGGTCAAGTACAAGTCACAGTAACCCTATTAACAGCGGGCCTGAACCCTGCCCTGTCCTGGGCCTAAACCGATTCCTGAAGCACGCACAGCACACCATCCCCAACTTCTATATGCCCTTCCTCTAGAGGCAACAGAGAGCCTCCCACAGGGAAAAGGACTCAGATAGTGCTCTCAGAGCCCAAGCGTACACACCATACTATAATAAGTGGTGTCCGCTGACCAGAAGTCTTCACAATGGAATGTATCCTGAAGAACTAGATGCACTCACATCTCATTTCCATAACCATACCTACATGGACCAGTTCCCGGAAACCCCACCTCTTCGCAATTGACAAGTATGTAAAGATTTATTGTTATTGTTGGGTACCATCGAATCAGAACTGACCCATAGCTGAACCTCCAGTAGGTTTTCAGAGGCAGTTAATGCTCGTCCTTTCCCAAGAAGCAGTTGGTAGATTCGAATTCCGTGCCTTCAGAATTGCAGCACAGCTTCTTGCCACTAGGTCACCAGAGCGAAAATCCTGTTATTTTGAGCTTTGGCAATACATCCAGCTCTGATCCTCCCTCTTGAACCTTTCCTTTCCCTAATAAACTCTGTCTACCTGAAAGACCCCTTAATCTTTAAACTGTCAGATGCAAGTCATGGTATTTTCAATGGCTTCCTGTGTATCTAAAAGTTAGACAATGAATAAAGAAGAAGAATCAAATCATGGTGTTGGAGGAGAATACTGACTATCCGGGCTGCCAGGAGAACAAACCAGTCTGTCGTGGAGGGAGTGAAACGAGGGTGCTTCTTAGAGGCGAGGATGGTGAAACTTCATCTCGCTTACTTTGGGCATGTTGTTAGGAAGAACCAGGACTTGGAAAAGGACATCATGCTGCATTCTGGGAAAGACAGAGGGTCAGAGAAAGAGAGGAAGACCCTCAAAGAGCTGGATCAACACAGTGAATGTAGTAAGGGGCTTGAGCAGACAGACCATGAGACGGCACAGGATAGGACAAGGTTCAGATCTGCTCTTCACTGGGTCACTATGAGCAGTAGCAACTCGCTAGCACCCAACACCAACCTGAAAGACAGTGCCCTGTCTCCTAATTCTTGGCTGTACTTGGCGAGAACTGTCAAATCTAAGGTGCCTGGAGGGCATCTACTTCTTTAACCTCTCTGAGCCCTTCCTCAGCCACTTGCTTCCAGTATCTTCTCGTTATTCCTAAGCCATCCCTCCCACTAAAACTGGACCGTATCAGTGCCCTGTCCACCCATGGTTCCCCACAACTGCCTCGGTAACTGGTTGATTCCTTAGTTTTGTCTGTGTGGTTCCAGCTCTGGTCTGCATCTTTTCTCTGATTTTTACTTCCAGGATAGTACATGCTTATTGTAGAAAATGTTAGCACCACAGAGCACACAATATTGATGCCGAGCATATTCCGTGCCAACATCTACCCATACTCCCACCTCCTTCTCATTCTCCAGAAGGTTAGACAGTTTGGTGTGCTAGCTTTCCAGATCTTCTACTGTGCAAATGCAGCTACTGTATTTCCTCACAAATAACATGCCCACATAAATGACACACCCTCACATATAACGTCAACATAAAATAATATTAGGGAAGGGTTGTGTGGTTGGCAAAAAAGAAATTGATAGAGTGTGCATGTTACTTGGTAAAGCTATGATATGTGAGTGTGTGGTTTTGTGTATTATATACAGCCTTTTCCACCAAAATTGCATCATACTGGCAATCATATCCTGCAACATGTTTTAAAAATCTTTTCTTAAGATACTATCACAGGTTGCAATAAAAACAAAAGTGTGTTTATCACCAGAAAAAAGAAAAAAGATACTATCATAGGGAGCTCTGGTGGCCTAGTGGTAAGAAGCAGCACTGCAATCCCGAAGGAACGTGGTTCAAATCCACCAGTTGCTCCGCGGGAGGATAGGTGATGACTGCCTCTGAACACCCGTGGGAGGGTCAGCTGTGGATCCGTTCTGATTCGATGGTACACAACACCACCATCACACAATATTCTATTTTTATTTAATTTTTTATGGTTTGGCTTCACTTTTTACAATATGCTGTTTTAGAAAGAGAGAGCTCTGGTTGTATAGTATGTAGGGAGTGGTTCTCTTAAGTCAAGGGGATATGCCTATGGGGGTTCAAATCTACCAGCAACGCCTAGGGAGAAAGATGCACAGCGTCCTGAATGGTGACTTACAGCCTCAAGAACCCATTGGAAGCTCGCTGAGTTGGAACTGATTTGGGACTGACTCTATGGCAGAAAGTGTGAGTTTCTGGAACTTATCATAGGAAACCTTCCATATCCAAATATACAGCATCATAGCTCTCCTATTTTTTATTTCTAAAATGTTTCAGCTCTTCAAACTATAGCAAGACAGGTTAAGATTTATATTAAAAAAATCCAAGTTGATATCTAATGAAATATTGTGTGGTGAAATCCTTTTGCCCTTGAAACTCTTCACTAAAAATATCAATGGAGATGGGGGTAAAGGCGGCCACTGGGCTAGCCGGCCTTGCACGTTCACCCTGCATTGCAATTAAATCTTGGTTTTCAAGCTCCAACTAATGACATATTGATTTTCATTTGGCAGTACACAACTAAGTGACGATAGCATGGACCTTCGATTAGCATTTGTTTATGGTGAGGAAACGGCTGTGCTTTTTAGAGCCAGGGCCGCTTCAAGCGTGTTGGGTCCACACAAGTGGGCATCAGAATGGTATCCTGCTGCAAATGGTTTTATCCAG